AGATGCCAGTTTTTTTACGGCTTACGTATAAAAGCTTGAGTTTTTGTTATGACTAAGTGTCGTGTTTGCACTAAAAACATTTTATTCTTGTAAAATAAAACTAAAAAATATTTATTAAAATGGTTAAAAGATAGTTAAATTTTCTTTGAGTAATTTCTTTATGTTTTGGTGGATTTTCGCTAACTGATTGCCAGCTTCAGTTTATTTCGATAACACAGAATACTGAGGTTCAAACTCTAATAGAGGTTTAATTAAACAGGTTCTCCTAAAAAACTAAGCAATACCTTGCATAATATTTTTTAAGGATTACCAAATATCAGATAATTTTTTCTTAGAGGCTCTATCTGATTTTAGTTGTCATCTTTTTAGGATTCTATATGTTATTCCTCCTATTCTAATCAAACTTATATAGAAGTTATAGAAGTGTTGATTTTACGAGTGAAAACCAATAAAAGTGGGGAATCAAATAAAAATAAAAGTTTGCAAAAAGAAATGGCATATTCAGTAAGGAAAGATCAAGTGAAAAAGTTCAAAAAAAGACAAAGACCAAATAAGTATTCTTAGTAAAAAGGTATTTCTTCTTTTAATTTCAATTTTTATAAACACAAAATTACAAACATTTGATTTTATTTTCAATGGAGAGTTTTAGGAAATCTTTGCAACATGTAAGTTAATTTTTAGTAACTAAGTTATATAGCAATCTGAAAACCTCAGATAGCTGTATAACTTCTTATAACTTGTATTAAAAAAATTTCAGTATTCTGTGTTATTTGAATAAACTGAAGCAGGCAATCGGTTAACAAAAAATCCAGCACAAAATAACGAAAGTAATCAAATAAAATCTAACTTTTATTTAACCATTTTATTAAACATTTTATAGTTTTATTTTACAAGAATAAAAAATTTATAGTGCAAACACGACTCTTAACCATAACAAAAACTCAAGCCGTAACCAAACCATAACAAGAACTCAAGCAAAAAATACATGAGCCGTAAAAAAACCGGCCTCTTAATTTTTACGGAAAATGCAACATATCAGGTCGTGTAATTTAAATAGGCCATGTCGTCAATAGTATCTTGATGTCATTAAAAAAGCATTTTTTTTATATAACAAAATAAAACTCACACCCCTTTTAAATAAAGCAGCAGCAAAACGATGTGATAGAAAAGATCATAATAAGGCAACATGGCCCCTACAAGGGAAAGGGCAGTTAGTACTGTAACACTATGGCTGGTAAATGGGGCCTGGCGGATTTATCAATACACACCTAATATTTATATCAATACATACACATGCAGGCTATTGTGCGTGCATGTGTATGTATTGAAATACATATAATATTGTTTATACAGAATTTAAGACATTTATATAGTCTCTTTTTGAACATCTTTAGGTCTTTGCTCAGTTGTTTGCTTAAAATTTTATTAAGTAAAATTTAAATACGTCGTTAATTTGATAAATACGTCGTTAATTTGATAAATACGTCGTTAATTTGATAAATACGTCGTTAATTTGGAGATGATTGATCAAAAGAGCTAGAACTTTTACAAAGTTTTCAGTCAATAAATATCCTAAAAAACATGCTTTTTTACTTAAAGTTATTATTTTCTCCACTTAATAAGTAAACGTAAACAAAAAAGATTTATGCTGTAGAAGTACTCTTTTTCTTTCATTTTTCTTAACTTAACGGTCTAGAAATTAAAGCTAAAGTTAGGATTATATAATACATCACAATTTTATTATATTAAATTAATAGCATAAAATTTTGATAGGCATATTACATTTTAAATAAAATTTTAAAGATTGCTTGCAGCCCATTAAGATTTTAGGTGTTTTTCCTTTAAACAATCTATTATTCATCTTGCAGACCAGATATTTAACAGAAATATCATGATTGTTTAAACTAAAAACATCGATTTCTTGAAAAGCACCTTTCAATTTCAATTTCAAGTCCGTTAGTCCAATTTCTTGTAAAGCTCCGGCAATTTCTTGTAAAGCACTCTTAAACGGCAATTACTTGTAAAACACCGAAACTATGAGTTATTGAATTGTTTAACATAACTTGGTCAGTAATCTTAATATTTGACTTTTTGTTCTCATTTTGTTCTCATTAACAATTAACACGTTTAGAAATAACAAGAGTAATAAAAATAGATGTCAGTATAATTTCTTGTTTAAAATAACATTAAAAAAATGATGTTTTAATAAATAATAAGAATGTTTTGATAAATAAAAATTCACGACCAAATAAGGATTCAAATCTTTGTTGAATGTAATAATATATTCAAATCTTTTTATGATGAATGTAATGAATGTTGAGGTTTTTGTCATTTTTTGTAGTTTTAGTTTCAGGAGTTAATTAATTTTTTAAAGGGGCCGCATTGATACCACTTCGTGATAAAAGTTAAGCACTTCGATCTATAAGAAAATAAATCTTAAAAACCTTTCAGCCTTATTAAGTTGAAAAATTAAATTTGAAAAATATATTTTTTGAGTTTTAACTTTAAAACATATAAAAATCTAATTCTTTTTAAAACATTTTAGGTTGTGGGGTCCATGGGAGGCACTATGGCAAAGTTCTTTCTTCAGATAAATGGATTACCAGGTTGATCAAAGAAAAAGCGGCTAAAACAAAGACTTAAAAAGTTTCAAATTCTTAAATTCATTGAGCCGTTGAAAAAAAAGTAAATAATTGTATATTTGCTATGGAGACAAGGTTAATTAGTTTGACAACAAAAAGACTAAAGCGATTGGTTATAAAATAGTGAAAAAAAATAATATCGAGTATAATTTTAATTAATTTTTTAGAATGGTTAACAAAAAATGGTTAAATGGGTATTTAAGACATAATCCAGAAATCTCAGTGAGAACACAAAAAAAATATCTTATTTGCAAGACTACAAGCTTTTAATAAAAAAATATCGACTAATATTTTCCTGAAAACATATTCAACGTTGACTAATCAGGGATAAGACCTGTATAAATAATTTATCCTATTTTTTTAACTTGTAAAGCTTACCTAGGGGCTCTATGAAAAGATTATGGTGACTTTAGTCATCCGTATCTTCTTTGAGTCCCTGTCTGTTATTTATAAATCCACTTTTTTTGTATGTAAAAGTTTCTTTGTAATTGTATTTCTTATTATATAATTTATATAATAAGAATTTATAATTTTTATAATAAGAATTTATTATTATATAATTTATATAATAATTTTTTTAAACATTTATTTGCTGTTTATATTATAAACAGCAAATAAATATTTAAAAAAAATAAATAAAAAAAAGCCGAAAACAATTAATGGCAGCTAATAAAGCATAATCAACAATCGAATGTATAATATTAAATAAATGCAAAAGATCATTTATGCCACCAATCTTCATTTTTCTCTATTTTTGAAAAAATTCAAAAATTATTTTTTGCATTGAAAAAGAAAACTCAAAAATTTTTAAACTTTACTTACGATGCAATAGCTTAGTATATACATAAGAGGTCTACCGTGTTTTTTAAAAACTTTTAAAATTGAATTTAAAAATACATCAAAATGGGGAAAAACTGAACAACAAAATAGCACTCCGAATATCCAAGTCTTAAAAGACAATTAAAAAGAAGAAATGATAAAGAATAAGACAATGAAAAAGAAGAAATGATCAAGAAAAAGACAATGAAAAAAAAGAAATGATCAAGAAAAATAAAATAGGTGGAATATAATTAATAAAAAAAATGTTAATAAAAAAACTATAAGAAAGATATTACCTTATAAAAATTACTGCAGCGAGGAAAAATAATAAAATTATTAATGAAATTGATTTACTTATCTAATACAGAACGCTTGTTTTGTGAAGAATTTTATTCACAATCTTACTATAAAGAATCTTTAAAATTTTCTGGTAGATATTAGTAATATTGGACCAATAATTTTTTTTTCCTTATTGTTTATGATAAATGCTGCGTTATCATTGATAAAAAAAAAATAATTCTTTTTCTCCAATTTGTTTAAAGTATGCCATCATATGAGCTGTTGGTTGTCTATGATGGCATACTAGTACTTTATTTAAATGGGAATTACTTATAAAATAAAGCAAAACGGATTAAAATTTTAAAGGTTACTATTAATCTACATGTTACAGAGAATGTATCCATATGCATAGGGTGCATAGGAATGCCCCCATATCATTTTTAATTCAAGTCTTCTGAATAAAAATTTTTAACGTGTTAAAGTAACTCATCGTGGATGAGTTACTTTAACAACAAATTTTAGTTTGTCTAAAGCCTTTCCCGTTCCTGTTAAAAAAAAGGATGAGTGAAAACTGATCTTTAAACTTCAAGTACGCCAAAGTCAATTGAAGTTTTAAGTTTCTTGTTACTTTCATAATTTTAGAAGAAACTTCTAAAAACTAAACACTTTCAGTTAGTCGCTTTTTGACATTATATACCGTTATTTAAAAACACATTGCTGTACACTCAATGAATGAAAAAAATGTATGTTAGGAAAAGCAACAAAGATAGGTTTTTTTAAAACTAGCAGGTTTTGAAGATGAAAATAGTTATAAAGTTTTTAGCGCAACCAAAAGAATGTTTATAAGAAATTGAATGCGGATATAATCTACTAACGTGGTTCGCATGAATGATGGGAGGCTTCCATACTTTCAGCAATAGTTGAATTAGACGTGAATATACAGAGCAATTTATAACTTTAGACAAATTTTTTAAACAAGCTTATTAACATAAAGAGGAAAAAAAACACTATAAAAATGGTTACTCATTTGTTGAATTGCTTAAAAAAAGTATTTATGATTCAAGTTTTAAATTTGCTTTTTAGTTGATGCAAGTAAATAAAATATTTTTTGTAGTATGATGTCTTTTTACTGAGAAATGAAAAAAAAAAAATGTTTATGTGTAATATTATCTAGTAAGTGTATTTAATTTTTACATTAATAAGTACTAATTACTTGAGATTTTCCATATAAGAATAAATATTTTAATAAAGATGACTGCCTATTTTGATTAATTATATTATATTCTCATAAGTTTACTATGCCTGTTTTCATATTTACAAAAGTGCAGCAAAATTATTCAATAGTTTAAGAACAGTCGATAACATTTACTTATAACTCGGTTACACATAAGTCCGTTGTAGTTTCCCTTATATTTGGCCAAGAGTTGCTTAATGCGTCATCATTAAGATAAGATTTTGGTGTAGGCGATGGAGTAATTATGTTAAACTCAGGTTTAGAAAAATGAAAGTCTCCGTTTGTATAACCTTCCACTTTGCTTCTACCACCATTTGGTTCAAAATCTCCCAAATATTCAACACCATTTTTGTTATAATTTGATAAATTTTTACAAGTATAAGCTAATTTTTCCACACATGTTTTACCATCATATTTAGTAGGTAGAGACTTTGTGCGAAAAAATGAGTTGCGGGAATCTTCCTTAAACGGAGTCCCCTTATCAAATGCGCTTGATATATTTTTTACTTTTCCATACACATGCTCGTACGGAACATCGTCTTCTGCTTTACTGTTTTTCTTTTTTTGAGCAAATTTTTCTTGGTTTTTAAGTAATATTTTTTTTCTATCGTTTAAATCCAAACCACTAACACATTCTTCAAGTTCTTCGCTGGATACAGGTAGTCTATCATTATTATTTGTAACTTGATTGGTTTGATTAACTGACACGCAAATTTTCTCTTTCGAGTTTCGCTTTAATAGAATAGGAAAGTAACGAGGTAAACTTCCTCTTCGTGCTAATAATGGAGAAAACTTTTTCAGTTCAGGTTTAGACGCATTTGCTGCTGCGGATGTATCTTTATCTTCTTGTATTAGAGATGAAGATTTATGATTTGTTGTAGGTGAAGTTAACTTCATGGCTGTATTATCGCGACTTCCTCGTCTCGATAAAATAGGAGAACTTTGCTTTCGAAAAGATTTTTGTATATCGTTTTTTTTTTGTCTAGTTTCAAAATCATAACCAGGAACAAATAATGTCGTAGCAGGAAACATAGGGACGTCAAAATCCTTCATATTTTCTTCATTAAGTGTAAGTCGTTTAACTTTTCTTGTTTCTCTATTATGTTTATTTGGAGTTTTGGCTGAGTTTGATCGACGGATTTTAAAGTCTTTAATATCACCTAATACAGCAGCCACAGACTTTTTGCGCGATGTATCAGTAAAAATATTTATTTTTTGAATTGAGTTGTGGTTTATACTTTCATTTTTATCGTTTTTATTGTTTCTAAGATTTCTATCGGAAGTACTAGAAGAGTTATTAAGTTCTTCGTGTGATTTAGTTTGAACTAATCCATTATCAACATCTTGATCGGAACTTGTTGTTTCGTTAAAACCATTGTGGATGTTAGGAGAACTTATCGACCGCAATCTATTGAGCAAACTACTTGAACTTTTTTTTTTTTCTTCTTCTTCTACTTTTTTTTTTTGCGCTCTGTACGAGTTAGGTCTTTTTAAACTTAAAGATGTATTTAGTGAACAGGGTTTTTTACGAGCTATTGAAGCTGAATTTATAGAACATGGCTGTTGAAAATTGTGTGGAAAAGATTTCTTTTGTTGCAAAAAAAGGCTGTTAGTTTGTGAGTTTGTGCTATTCATTTGACTTTAGAACTAATTTGTTTTTTAAGCTAAAAACAAAACACATTATACAAACCAATCTTTTTTTTATTTAATTGCTATTGTATTACATCAGAAAACATATCAAGTATTAAAAATAAATTTGACAATTAATTACTTAAAAAAAAGATATTTATAACAATTATAAGTATTTTTAAAAAAGAACGCAATGCCGTCCTATAAGATCAAAAACCGTATGTCGTTGAGCAAATAACGCTGCTAATGCAAAATACTAAAGCTATTCTAAAATTCTTTTTTGTCTGTGGCGAAAATGGAATTATTGTCTGGTATACTAAAATCAATAAGTTGCCTGCTATACTAAAGCTACAAAATGCTAGCTATACTGAAACTAAACGCTATTTTTGAGTTATCAGTTACCCACTGCACTAAAGCTATAGGTAGCTTGTTATACTAAAGTTATAGATAGCTTACTATACTGAAGCTTTAGGTAATTTGTTGAAATGAAAATCTGTTACTCAGTATACTCGGTATAATAACACTCAAATTTTACTTTTGATGTTTGTCAATTTAAACTAAATTTAATAAATTTTGATAACTTACAAATAAAAGAAACAACTTGAATATTTAATATAAATTTATATAATTTTAATCAAAAATTATATATAAATTTTTGCAAAAAAATATTTTATGATATTAAGTATCATCGAAATGATAGCGCTATATATTATTATTATATATGATACTAAATACATATTATATATATATATAAAATATTATATTTATATATATATAAAATAGTATTTAGTATCATATATATAGTATCATATTATATTAAGTATCATCGAAATGATAGTGCACTATTTTTGAAGGTTTTTAGTTGAATTATTTTTACTTCAGGTTTTTTAAAAACATCTTCTTTATTTCGACCCTTTTTCGAAAATGCAAAATCCTAATAATTTTGTTTTTTGTCTTTGTTTTTTTTTGTTTTTTTTTCAATGTTTATAATTATTTTCTTTTTTTTTTTTGATCTGTTTACTTGATAATAATAATAGTAATAATAATAATAATAATAATAATAATAATAATAATAATAGCATTATTATTAAACATTAATGTCAATTCTTAAGAAACATTTAATTTCACAGTACAAAGTATAAAGATTGTTAATGCTCGAAGATTGGAGGGCGTTTAGAAAAAGAGCATTTGCTCACGACTGCATGATTGCAGGATTCATAAGCTAGTTAAAAACAATGAAAATTTTTTGTAAAAAATCACAGTTTTGCATTGCATCTTTATTTAACACAAGCATACACATATAAATGTTTGAAGTCTCATGTTTACAATCTCAAACATCAAAAAATTTAAATTTTATTATTTGAATTAAATAATTTAATAGCTGTTTAAAAGAACTAAATTTTATTGATTGAAAAACAAATTATATCTTATAAATTAAAAATTACGATTTTAAAATTAATTTAATTCAATTTTTTTTAGAACAAAATCTTCTAGGACTTGTAGTAATTTGAAAACCAAAAAGATTTTTTTTTAACAAACAAATTTTTACAAAAGTTGATATAGCATGTATTTTGTTACTTTTTATTACAAATATTTCTACTGTTTATATTATTATTATTATTATATTAAAATAATATCGCAATAAAAAAATCGCCAAAATAAGTCCAAAGGTGCGTGCAAAGTGACGTAATCATACTTTTTATTTCGTTATTTGAAAAAAATGTGCGCGCATGCATGGTAAAAAACTTTGTTTCTTTCACCGCGACGTTACTTCAGACTTTAAGGGTATATCCGTTATATTTTTTTTTATCCATAGTTAATAAAATCATAACAAAATCGTTATCATATTATTAACTTTTATTTTTAAATCCTGACCTATATTATTATATTTACCTCTCCCAATACCAAACTGAGATTCACAATATCAGATATAGATATTGTTGCAAATTAAATCCCAATATATAAAGATTTAGTAAAACCTCTCCTCTTCTGATTTTCCTATTCTCCCCTGCTTCATCTACTTTAATCAAATTGAACGAAATCAAATTTAATAAAAAAAATGTTTTTAAATTAATAAATTGTGCTTACAACGTCTCGTGTTTATTATGTCTAAAGTTCTTCTCTGTTTATCGTTATATAAATGTGAAATTTACTTTAAAAAAATAATGTAAGCAACGAAAAACAATTAAGCAACCAATGATTTTTTTCGCCAAAAAAAACTAAAAAAACTAAAAAAAGAACGGAAACAAAATAAACAAGTGAGAATAAAACAAAGGCAACCTAATACGTAGCATAACATAACATTGCCAACAGAGCCAAACAAGACCTTCTTATTGCAGAGGGATTA